ACTCCTAAAAATAGGGCTACTACTTATTATCATATTACTTTTGTTTTTGTTTAGTAGATTAAAATTATCATATCCATCGAAGGGTTTTATTGAAAAAAAGGTCCACTAAAACGGGGCGCTTCGTACCACGATGTATAAGTACATGGGCAAAATTTTTTGAATAAATCAAGTTGGTGTTAATGCATTAAGAGAATTGTCAATTAAAGTCTGTCCTCCTCGATTATGGCACAGATAGAATTTTCTAAGTTGGATGTATTGTTAAGATTTTTGCACCCCTAAGGCAGAGGATTTCTCTCCTCAGAAGTGCAAAACTCGTTTTTGTTCTTATAAAGTTTGTGTCCGAGTGTGATTCGTTCCGTTTTTTGCTTAGTTTCTCTGCTAGTTTCCGGACAGTTTTTGCCGAGCGCGGTGCTGCTGCTGCTCCGGTACACGCAAAAATTAGTAGGACAAAGCTGCTGTGTTCCACATCCAGATTTCTTTGTTGATTTTTTATTGTTTTGACACCCTCATGATATTTGTATGCGTCAGATATAGTTTTAGGGCAGGATTTAGCATGGGGGTTGAAATTTTTGCATCAAAAAAGGTTCGGCTGAATCGGCCTCCCAGGAGTACATTTGAGTGTATCTACCTTTAGGACAGTGTAGAGAGTGGGTCAATGTGAACGGTTGTCCACATGGGCATATATGTGGGGTTTTTGGAGGTTCCCATCCATATCCCAGATGTAATCCATCTTAAAACTCTGATTTGTTGAGGAAAAATTGTATTTTTAGGGGTAGCACGCTTAGCCAATTCTATGCTTCTTTCTGTGAAGCTAGATTTTTCGTCAGTTTTTTTCTGATGAGAACGTATCCATCAATTTAGCCTTTTTTGAGAGTGTGATGTTCTGTCTCTCTGTTTTGATGTTTCTATATATCAGGGTTTGTTTCGTTTCAGCTATTTCTGGATCACTGTTTACCAACGGATCACGAATGGCTCGTGACCGCTCATAATTTCTGGAAAAGTCGGTGTTTCAGTCTAAATCCTCCCATTCTTAGTGGTAGTGCAAAAAGGTTCCGATCTTCGTCGGTTGTATGGTTTTTACCGTTAACACTAGGAAGTAGCTGCTGCCTTACGTTTTTCTCAATTTCATCCATTTTCTTAAATGCTTCCGGAGTTGTTTTGTTTAGGAAGTTTAATTTATTTTGAACTCCCTTTGTGTAGCAGGAGTACGCATTTTGTTGTGATGTTTTAGCTATTTTGGAAAGCTTTTCAGTTAGGGTAGCTATCTTTTCAATATCGCTCTCCGTGTATTTCTCGCGTGCTGATGGTGTTCCTATAACCGATCCAAGGACTCTAAAACCGTCTACCATTGTAATATTTGTTCCTTCGAATACTTTTATGGTGCTTTCACGACGATTTTCCTTTACTATGAGTTAACAATTTGAAGGCTTCACATTGTATCCGAAAGCTTTTCCGCGCACATTGAGGTTGTCCAGTTTTGCGCGGATACTCTCAAGATCGCCTGCAGCGCTACCGTCATCTGCGTACCATTTTTGGGTGACATTTGGTTTTTGCAGGAGCTCAATCAGTGGGATTATCCCAATTCCGTGCATAAGGGTAGTAAAACGGTAGCAAAATCTTCCCAATACCCCTCCGAATTATCGTGAACTGCTCCGTAACGATGCTAGTCTCGATCGCAATTTCAATATAGTTTGTACGTCTACTCTTCACTGTCGAGAATCGTTGATGTTATTTTAAGCGAAAATCTGTCTTCTGATTTTTGCTCGTTTTCAGCAACTGCAAAGTTTCCAGTTCGTGACGTGTCTTTATTTCCGATCGAATTTTTAAAAAGTACTTCGTCACTGCAATTTGACCCTTCCCAATTCATTAACTTGAACGATTAGTAGTAGTAGTAGTAGTAGTAAGGCTTGTGCTGGTCAGTACAAGGGGCTATCACCCCAGTCAGTTTGCAATTTCTATAGATAAGTCTTGTTTCTGCAGTTATTTATCAAGCAGTCACAGCCAACTCTCCACGTGCATTTATTCAACTCTTCGAATTCTTCAAATCTTCTCCAGAAAACACGTATTATCAGTTTTTTCAGTCCATTTTTCTGACGCAGATCAATTTTTACAAAATTTCCTAGTCTGCATGTCTGATAAAAGAAATTTTCTTCCAAGATTCTCTTTCTTGGTCTCTGCAGCTGAAATAGATTACAGCGCGAGGAATCTGTGTAGAAAGGAATATCAATTAGCTCGTTATCGTATCTACCCAAAATCAGTTTGGACAATAACAAAAGGTTGTTTACTTGAATGCACATAGGGAGCGTTAAAATTCCCAAAAATTCGAGACAAGCTTTGTAGCTTCCGCCAATTGGTGATATCCACTTAACGATGCGCTTCTGTACATTTTCTAACATAGCCGTTGTTTTTTCTAAACCCATAGCAAGGACTTCCGTAAACGAATATTGGCACTATCATTGACCTATTCAGATTGAGCTTCGTTGTCCAATATATATTCGAAACGTCACGTTTGATCATGAAGAAAACTTTTATTGCCTTCTTACTGGATTTTTGATGTGTTGGTCCCATTTAAGGTTAATCGAGTGTATCAAACCTAAATCTGATTGCTTTAACTGCTTTTCGATCACGTGATTTCCAAACTACAGAGTTTTTACAAACTTTTAAGTTTTTCACAAATTTCCATTACTTCTTTTGTTTCGATGCTTATTTCCTTTAGAACTGGCATATCAGCAGACAAATCGCGAGAAAAACGGAATGAACTGGATTTACTGTAAACCGAAGAGAAGAACTTTCGAATTAAATCTGGTTTATCTTTGTCAGAATCAGCAGTGAAATTGTGGTAAACGTTTTGGGTGGTAAACTTGATTTTCTAAAGGCTTTAAAAATTGAAAGAATTTTGCTAAAAAGTAAAATTTCAAACGTTTTCGCAACTATGTGCATCGTCAGAATTTTTACAATAAACTAACCTAAATGACGATAAAACATCAATTTACAAATGTTATTTTCAATAATTCACATACATTCTGGTTCTAAACCATCATGTTAAAAAATTAGCCAATCACAGTTGACCTCTAAATTACTACTAGGATTAAAATACTTTTAACCTCTAAAATTAATTAAACATTTTAAAATTAATTTGTCTGAAAGTTTTTGAGTCATAATTTCGATTTAGACATGTACGTTTTAAATAAAAAACCAAAATTATTTTGGGACTAAATTTTCAGTGTTAACTCCCTGCTACCAAACTCATCGCGCGGGTTCAAGCCCGGTTTCCTTTTCTTGAAATGTATTGCCTCTAGTATTAACACTTTTGTTTTAGTTGTTTGACCTATCTATAATTTTCCAACTCAGATCTGCGCTATTTCCCTCAAGTTGGCTTTGCTGAAGGTGAAGGCCTACCGGTGAGTCTGCGTTCTTATGTTCCTCAATTCTAATGGTCAAATGTCGAACAGTTTGTCCGACATAGGTGGAAGTGCATCCACGCCATGGCAGTTTATAAACCACTCCTGACTTGAGGTCATTAGAAAATGCTGACTTCAGTGATAGTAAATATGATTCTAGTTTTCTTGTGGTAAAAACCAATTGAACGTTAGATAAATTTCGTAACCTGTTAGCAAAATATTGGCTTTGGTTACCCCTATATTGCACCATCAGCATTGGGGGCTTCACATTTTATTTTTGGTGATTGAGTTTTGGACTTGCCCTCACATTGGACTTGCCCCTACCCTCGATGATTTTGCACAGGGCCTGTCGCTACCTTTGCGGACTAATTTTCAGGGTACTGATTTGTCATTCCTTGCGCCCTATTAGTTTTCCTAGCCTTATCAAATTGCTACCAGCTAGAAGTACTCCTAAAAACCTTGTTTACAGTGCCTTGGATAACACTACGCTTATACTGAGTTGGAACGCAGCTTCTATAGTTCAGTATAGTCCCTGTATTTGTTGGTTTTTGATACCAACTGCAAGTTACACCCCTATTCTGCGATACATTTATGTTAAATTCCAGGAACGGCAAATTCCCCTCCGAGTTAGTTTCCTCTAGAGTGAACTGCAGATTTGGATGAAGAGAATTGGCGGCATCGAGAAGACAGCTCGGCTCCCCTCTGACTGGACTGTTCTAACAATGTCATCCACATACCCGAGGAACAATTTCACCTGGGGAGTATCCTTCTCCTGGTTCTTAGCGCGGCAACAGCTTTTACAGTATCAGACTATCTCAGTTATTGATGCGTATACGTCATCGGATATTTTTCCGCATTTTAGATGATACCAGTTTCGGCAACTCGCATTCAACCCCATTTGATCTATATGTGACTTTCTTGCTGCAACATGGGCACACAAGGCTTTAAAAAAGCATGCATTTTGGCCGCCATTCTGGTCGAATATCACATAAAATCGACGGCATTCTAGCACAAAACTTCCTCGAAATGACCGACTGACACAATCATCGCAAATCGGTTTTGGTATACGGTATTTTTGGGGACCGACCTTTTACCAGACCGACCTTTTACCAGAAAAGTTATAACATGGACCTTTTACCAGACTCGATAAACAAATTTGATTGGCCGATGTAATGACGCCGTTTAGTCTGGTTTAAGACAATGATTTCACGGTTTCTCAACAAAGTTTTGTTTGTTCTAGCCGCTTCCTTTTCAAATCTTCCACTTATTTTAACTTAAACTAACTAATTAAACTAATTGAGTTATTGAATTGTGGTCTGGTAAAAGGTCGGTCTGGTAAAAGACCTTGCCCCGGTATTTTTGGTATACCTAATAGGCTTTGGTATTATCGCATCTGTAAAAAAAAACCACTCCCCTAAGTTTGCATTTTTGACACTATAATAGGTTAATGTCTGAGTACTCCCAGCGGTTGCAGTTGTGACGTCCAAAAAATGACTGCTCAAAAATTTTCCACGTTCTAGTTACGACGTTTCTGTAGTTTTGCAAAAAGTTTCAAAAGACTTCAGGTTATATTTGATTTTTTGTTAAATTCAGATGTAAACCTGTTAGTGTCAAACATAACTTGATAGTTTTGTGACAAAAAATTGAGAGTTGTTAAAGGGCAGTCCGAGTATTCGCTTCTCTACACTGATGCCGAGCAGTCTTGTTTAGTTTTATACTGCGTCCTGCCAACATATTTGATTTGCCATTTGTTTTCAGTTATGATGTTACAATAGAATTCATGGTTAGTGGAATATCAGTTGTTTTGGATAACTTGAATCTGAAAACTGCCGAAATGAATACCGAACAGATGCCAGCGTCATTCTTGAAGCGTCTTTTATCTGCAGGGTTTTACGCTATGACCTCGATCCTGATTATAGTGTGCAACAAAAGTGTTCTGACCGTGTACAATTTCCCTTCATCGCAAGTACTGGCTGTTGGACAAATGGTGTTCTCAATACTTCTACTTGGATTCTTAGGACTCATTGGAAAAATATACGTTCCCTGGCCGAGCTTTGCTACTTTCCAGAAGATTTGGCCGCTTCCTTTGTTGTACTGTGGAAATCTGTTCTCCGGTCTCGGAGGAACAAAAGAGTTGAGTTTGCCGATGATGACAGTGCTACGGAGGTTCTCCGTATTTATGATTTTGGTTGCTGAAATTTGGATTCTTAATGCATCTTTCTCAAATTTGGTGTATTTCTCTGTTGGTGTTATGATTGTAGGTGCAATTATTGCAGCTGTAAATGACTTATCCTTTAATCTTGCTGGTTACTGTTATATACTGGTTAACAATTTATTCACGACAGTGAATGGAGTAGTTACTAAACAGAAATTGGATGTAAAAGAACTCGGAAAGTATGCAATTATTTTTTACAACAGCTTGTTTATGATCATTCCTGCAGTTTGCTTAGCTTATTCTAGTGGCGAAGTGGACAAAGCTTCCAAGTTTGATCAATGGACCGATGTAGGCTTTCTCCTCAACTTTCTCTGCTCCTGTGGAATGGGATTCGTCTTGATGTACTCTATTGTTTTATGCACACAATATACATCTGCTCTTACGGTTTCTGTCATAGGATGCACGAAAAATGTCTTCATTGCTTATTTTGGTATGGTGTTTGGCGGAGACTACGTCTTCTCATGGCCAAATTTCTGGGGTCTGACAATCAGTGTAATGGGTAGTTTGATTTACGCATATGCTACATTCAAGCCGCCTAGCGGGAGGTCAGCTAACTCAAATACTTCCAAAGCATAAATTGAAAAAATGTATCTAGTCTATTGTACATACTTTCAGAATTTTTTACCATTGGCTTACCATTTTATATTTCTTTTCGTTCAAAATAAAAATCCCTTTTTACTGTGCTGGTTATCCGCTCTTTATTTGAGAAATAAAAAGTCATTGGTGCTTGTTTTGTACATATAAATCCATTAATTAGACGGATTTTTGTCCTTCCTATGAGAATGTTTTTAAGAGTCAATGAACGTAGTGAAGACTCGTGTTTAGCTTTTAAGACATGTATGGGACAACTGTTTAAGTTTCTGAAATAATTCTGACCTCAAGACAGTGAAATAGAGTTGAAATTGCAACCGAAATTTCAAAATTGCATTTGAACTGTCGAAAGAGCAAACCAAAATGATTGCGCTTTTGATTTCGCTTTTGACCAAAATGATTGCGCTTTTGAAATTGCAACCGAAATTTCAAAATTGCATTTGAACTGTGAAAAGAGCAAATCAAAATGATTGCGGTTTTTCAGAGTCCAAGCCCTTAATTTCATAATAATTTTCATTCAGCAGCAAGCCGACGTGCAATTTTTCAATAGTACAATGAACACATAAAACGCCGACAAAAAGGCAACGCGAAACTTCAAAAAACTAATTCTTAAATTCAAAGAGCTTTAACGTCAAATATTTTTTCTTTGAAGTTGGAAAGTTAAAAGTTTTTCAAAAAACAATCAGGATTTTTTGTGTACTTTTGCGTTCATCGACTCTTTTCCAATGTTAGCTATGTTTCATAATACCAATCCAGTCTTGTTGTTATGTAATTTTATGATCAGTTGTTTGAAAATAGTTCAAATGATAAAATCGTGGAAACGAGGAGTGTCAAGACTATTTATTTGTATAAAATTTAATCGCTTTCTTCAAACAAGTTTTTAATTTTCATCTGAGACATGTAGTGCTGCAAGTGGTGTTCTATCATATCAGTCTTGTAATCAGTTTTTTGAAAGAATGTAGTGAGTACTCTTTTATAGGTGTTGGTGATTTTTTTCAGGATAGAGGGTTTGTCATGGGCCCTATAACATCTTTCAATTGTATCTAAAATATATGTTCTTGAGGATACATTGCTTCGGCTTTAATAAAATTTTTGCTATTGATCCAATTGTCTCAAATTGGATTAATTTTATCAAGAAAGGCAATCATTATTTGTTCTTTAAATTCAAAGAGCTTTAACGTCATGTATTTTTTCTTTGAAGTTGGAAAATTAAAAAAAAAAACAATTCAGTATTTGTTGTGTACTTTTGCGTTCATCGACTCTTTTCCAATGTTAGCTATGTTTCTAATTACCAATCCAGCCTTGTTGTTATGACATTTTATGATAAATAGTTTGAAAATAGTTCAAATGATAAAATCATGGAAACGAGGAGTGTCAAGACTATTTAATTGTATAAAATTTAATCGCTCTCTTTAAACACGTTTTTAATTTTCATCTGAGACATGTAGTGCTACAAGTGGTGTTCTATCATATCAGTCTTGTAATCCTTTTTTAGAAGAACGTAGTGACTACTATTATATACTCTTATATAGGTGTTGGTGATTTTTTTTTTAGAAAAGCGGAGTTTGACTTTTGATTTCGGTTATCAGTTCTGTTTTTTCTTCTTTTTTAAAAGAAGGACGGGAAACTCCTTTATCCAATTGCAAACTCTTTATCGAATTGCAGAGTTGTAAAAGTGTAAAAATTAAACGTGATTGTTTTCGTTTTTCAAAATGACTTATCGATAAATGACTTTTCTGAATTCCCAGCGGAATAGAACTTTTACCTACTCATTCAGTTTTGGTCAACTGGGTTACTTTTATCAACAAAATTCTATCACAGATTATTCTTGAAATTCAAAGAGCTTCAAGGGCATATATTTTGTTGAAATTCGAAAATTTTTCATTTTGTCTCTGTGTTCATTACTGTTTTCTAACTGTCTGTTGGCTACGTTTGTGATTCAGCTTTGTAAACAAAATTCTGGAAATGATTGCGAACCTTTGAAAATGATACTTCAGTTTTTTTGTTTCCATGCGTTCGTTGACTTTTTTCTATCAGCCTTTTGGCTGTGTTTGTAAATTCACCAACTGATTTAGTAGAATTTCATTTTTCGGCTCCAAAGGTTTATTTGGCTGAAAAATTTTTGATAGATGTTGTGGCCCATTCACGTCGTTCTTTTAAACGTGGAATAGATTTACTTTGTGTTTTTTGGCCCCAGCCCTGAGCACTGCAGAATTTTTATGGGGAGGATTAGTGTTTTCAATTTTACCGTGACCGTTAAAGGTGCGGATGACATTGTGAACCCTCCGACCGTAACCGAAGTGGGATTCGAACGAACGACTCGCGCATTAAGAGCGGCAGAGTTTACTTAACTGGCCATGGCAGATATGTATTACTACTATGCGTGGGCTCGATCCGGGGGAGGGATGCTTGAAAATTATTTTTCTCAGAATGAACATCAGTTGTGTCAAACGTGTTAAGATCCGTTTTTTGACGTTTTATCAATTAATTTTTTGATATGTTTTCTGTCGCACGTGTAAAATTTTGGAAAGTAGAATACCTCCAGTTTAAAATTTTAAAAATCCTTATCGCGAATAGGCTCGCGATAGAAACTTTAGCTTGGGTAGTTTTCTTACATCCATTTTTCACACTAATTCGGGGTTTATGTGATGTAGTGTTTATATTGCTTCGCAGCTGATATTTTTCAGGTAGGAGTATGATCTAATCGAAATTCTGTCATTTATTCAAACATCAGAACAAATTATGTGTAGTTTTCAAAGTTTTGAAGATTTTGGATGGCGTGTCTTTGTTATTCTGGCATAAATCTATTGCAAATCGTCTCCAAAATGATAATATTGTTTCAGATTTAATATAGCCAAATGTTTTAGATAGTAGTGTTTCTCTTTCCCAATAGAAAGAGAATTTTATTTCAGATCCTTTGTGTTAAATCAAGAAGCTGGCAGGTTTTGTTTACTTGCTTTTCTGAAAACTATGTCTGTTAATTTGACAGAAGATGATGTTCAAACAATACGTGATGTTCTGCGACAGATTGGATCGGGAAGCAGTCAAGGACTCTCGACGGTGTACACTCCTAACGTAAACCCTGCTTTGAATGGATACAACAAGCCCCCTAAAGGTTGCAAGTTCTCTGGAAGAAATTCTAAGTTCAAGAGACAACCACATGTTCCAGGGCAGCAGCAGCCTGTGGAACCGCGAGTTAACCCTGTGCTGCAGGCTAAAATGATGAGGCTTGCTAAGATGAATCTGCTTGGAGCTCATGCCAGCACTGAGGGACCCCTAGGATACGCGAATAAGCCAACGGGAGCGATTAAAACAGCAACTGATGGGCTGAGTCAGATTGATGCAATTTGCAGGACAGGGCTCCATACTAGCTGGGATAGAATAGGAAGAGCGCCTGAAGATATAGTGAAACAGTGCTTAGAAGCGAACTACCTGAAGTTGAGAAATACTTCAGACATCACTTCAGAGCAACGAATCAAGCAGCTGATATCTTCATTGAGACTGCTGCTGATCGAGTTGAACATACCTTCGGATGAGTTTTTGAAGTACTTTGAAGAGTACTTGAACTTGTTGATTGAGGAGAAAAATTGGATTTCAATCACACCCTCAACAGCTTTGTTCATGGCTGTTAATTCTGAGCAGGATGACGGAAAACCAGATGAACCAAACAAAGACTCCTGGTTTACTTGTAAGAAATGCAAGTATGCCTACCCGCCGCAAAAGTTCCCCTGCATGATTTGCGGCTCTACATTCAAAACTATTTCAGATCTGTTTGCACATAACTTTGAAGTTCACTGTAAGCTTGTTTTTGAGTCGTTCCAATGTGAGATATGCTGTCGTGACTTTGGCCAGAACCCGATTGCTCTGAGAGGTCACTGTAACGCAGATCACTTTTGTAAGTTCGCTCACGTGGAGTGCCCGTACGGGTGCAAGGTTTTAATAGTAGAGGAGGGTAAAGGTACTCTGAATCAGCATTTGTACACTGAACATCTATGTAGGATCTGCAACGACCTTGTTGGCAAGTCTCTGACTGACCATCAGAACCATTTTCACTCTTTGGATAAGAACGCCGACTTAAAGGGCAATCCGATTGTCGAAGCGCTAACCGCGCCGCCAACGCAGCCGCAAGTTAATGGTCAAGCCAGTAACGGTTTTAAAAATAACCAACCCAGAAAGCCATGGCAGCCTAGATCGAATAAGTACGGCAATGATGGACGAGGCAAAAGTTTTGACAGGAAAGGGTCAAAATGGGACAGAGGGGCAAGGTCTCGAGACAAGTCTCATGATCGGAAGCGAAGATCAAGAAGCAGAGGCTCACGCAGCCGAAGATCCAGAAGCCGAGAACAAAGTAAACGTTCCAAAAGAAGTCGAAGTCGTGACCGAAGTTCAAGGCACAGTCGGGATAAGAAACGATCAAGATCAAAGAGTCGATATTCTAGAGCTAGTTACGATAGTAAAGCAGACAAGAAATCGGAGCATCGAAGTTTTGAAACTCACAGCACGCGGGATACGAATAAGTCGTTTTCAGCCATTGAGATCCCAATTGCATCTCCGCCTCAGCGGATGTATAGTCCGTTGTCTGAAACAGAACCACTTACATATGGCTCGGTAAATTTGAATGAAGAGCGATCGAACCCGGTTTCACTAGGAGTTTCAATGCCACAGACAAGTACCGCTTCTAAAGGAGATGCAAATGTTTTCACTGCTCGCTGGTTTTTAGGCGATGAAAAATTAAGTTGGCTGAAATGTGCTGACTGTTTCCACAAAGTCCCTCCTCCCGGAACCTACTCGTGTCCTGTTTGTCCTGGCGATTACGAACTGCCCAGCTCTTTGTACAGACATGTGGAAGTGTCGCACGGATTTGCTGTTCCAAGATCATTCGACTGTGAGTTCTGTTCGGAGATATTTATAAACGCCGCCAAGTGGGACGATCATATGTATGCCCATCATTTATGCAAAGTTCACAGACAGAATCTCGCAGGAGTTACAGGGTCTGAAAGTGCGACCTCATTTGACCCTCGGGAGAAACCGAACGTGGACTTAGCCGTGAACGTCTCTTATTGTACCGAGTGTGAACATAGCACTTGGAAGGGGTATGTTGCGAGTGAGCCTAGAAGGGGTATCAGCAGTGTCCACGTGAAGTGCCCAGTCCCTGAGTGTCCTATGATGTTCCATTCACAACTCGCAGCAGACAGACACTTCGCCACAGATAAAAGATGCGCTAGTAAGTGTCATCTTAGATCAATCTTTGCTGCTTGTCAATTCATATGAGAAAGCAGTGTATAGGTGATTTAATCATTTCTTAATTGTCGTTTATTGTTGTCGTCACTGATAAGCTTCGCAACATATTGCCGCATATGGCCACATACTGTGATGTTTGATAAAACTTGCATATGTGGAATGTATTCTATACAACGTTTCACTTGACACATGTTTAAGAATTCCCTATGTTGACTTGTTAAAGTTTTTTTAACGTATTATTTGTGTCAGGTTACATTCAGGGGGATTGCAAATATGGCGTCCAAGTATGACTGCTTAAATCTTTATGGTTTTCGAGATATGGCGTTTTTTATGATTTTTTCATTTTTATTTCCAAAAACTTAGATATAAAAAACTAACCGAACTTGAAACTCTCAACTTCATAGTGCGGTGATGTCAAGGTTGTTCAGTTGGTTGCAAATCTAGCGTCCAAGTTTGACTGCTCGACTCTTTGTGGTTTTCGAGATATGGCGTGTTTTTTGATTTTTTCAATTTTTTTTTTAAAAACTTCCCTTTTTTGAAATTGTCAATTGAAATTCTTGAAACTTCTTCAATCGAAAACTCGTAAATTGAATTTCTTTGTGACCTGAATTTCCCAACCCTTCTGGTGCAATTTTGACAGGGTAAATTCAAGGCTCGCAATTCTTCCCTCCAAACATGACTGCTCAAATGCTTCTGATTTCGTGGCGATTTTAATTTTTTTTTTGTTAATTTTTTTTCAATAATTTTTGATATTTTAAAAAAAAGAACTCGAAATGCTCATCCCTAAGGTGGTGTCTTGTCAGGTACACTTTTTTGTTGCCAATTCGGTTTCTAAAAATCACGGCTCAAATCTTTTTGGCTCCCGAGATGTGGCGATTTTTGATTTCTCCATTTTTCTTAAAAAAAAACTTATTAAAAAACTAACCGATTAAATTCTCAATATCTTTGGCGGGGTTCTGAGAGAGTCTATTCAGAGGGCACTGTCAGGGTACAACTCTGGCCTCTAACGTTTAGTGCTCAAATCTTGTTTGTTTCCGAGATTGTTTGTTTCTCATGATTTTTCGATACTTTTGAAAAAAAACTAAGGGTTAAAAAATAAAACATTCTTCTCTATGGTGGGATGCTGTCTGGGTACAATATAGGGTAGCAATTATGCCCTCTCTTTTTATCTGCTCAAAGCATTTTGGTTTTCGACCCATGGCGTTTTTTTATGAAATAGAAACACCTGATAGAAGAGCTCAGTTTATCTTCACTGTTGCATTAAATATCGGTGTTTTGGTACATGTTTTCGGAAGCTCTTTTTACATTAAACCATCTTTTTGAGGCACCGTAGGTGTGAGTCTTGAGCTAGTTTTATTCGGCATTTTTATAGTATATTTCAGGAAAAGCATAATTCAAGATAATATTTTCTTGGAAATTGGCTACATAGCATTTTCATTTTCATAGCTTTCGGATTATTGAATTGTTATTTCGACCATTGAAAATGGAGAAACTTTGTATTCGGGTGTGTTTTAGTTGTTTCTCTTTGTTTTCAACGCAAAATCATCTACCACAAATAATCATCTGAGAGTTGTGTGATATATCATATTAAAGGCCTTTCATTCGTAATTCTAACGACCTTAAAAATTTCAAAAAATTTCTCCCAGTGCCGAAAAAACCTGTTACAAATTTTTGATTTTTTGTTCAATTTCGAGTTAAAAACGCGATTGAGTAACATTTCCAGCGGTTATGTGACAATGAAGATTTTATAAAGTAAAACTATTCTAAAAAAATAAGAAAATCTTCTCTCATTTTTTGTTTGGTATTCAGTTATTCAAAATTAATTTTGTCGATCATGCCTAACTTACTAATTCTCTCCAGGATCGTATAGTTTTTGAATCTTACCAACCACTCAAAACGTCAGCTTAGTGTTTTAGTAAGAACTTTTTTCTAACCTAAGTCGCAAATATCGGTGCCACTTTTAGGGCACCTTTACTGCATTTTGATAGCATGTGCTTGGACATTCGAATTGTAAAAAGTTAACAAAGTTGATGCATTTTTAATTCATAAAATGAACCGAATAATGAATCAAATAATTCATCAAATGAACCGAAAAAGGCTGTTTGTTTCAATCAACATAAGAATCATAAAAACTCGATTTTAGAAATTTAGATATAGAAACTCAATATATCCCGCAATGTGGCTCTGTTTTGCAATTTGTTACATGCAAAGTTAGATGCCTTCAGTTTATTATATTCCAAATTAATGTGGCTCTATGTTTTGCAATTTGTTACATGCAAAGTTAGATGCCTTCAGTTTATGATATTCCAAATTATTACTTGCAAAATTATGTCTATTTGCATTTTGTGCCACTTTTGCTCAATCGTGTTGGCAATTCATTAGCATGTGTAGCTGTTTTATTCGTGGTTATTGTTTATCGGTGGTTAAGCGTGCGTGGTCTCATATATGAATATATCTGCAAAATATATTATTTCTGAAAGCTTATTTACAACAGTCGCATTCAAAGGCTCCTGGTTTTCTCTAAAATTAAATCATTTTTTGAAAGCTTATCATTTCGTTTCGCTGACGAGTCTGGACAACAGAATTGGAGTTTTAGGATGATAGAATTTTTCAGCGATTGCTTTTATTCACTCAATGTGAGCGTAGCGTAATACTACGAAGCAACTTTGTCCTCCAACCTAAGTCGCAAATAAAAGCTCTTTGGCGTTTTTTTTTTGGTATATTTCTAAGTTTTTTCAGCTTATTGCATATGTAGCTGTTTTATTAGTTGCTGGTGCCAGTTGATTGACAAGTGACTGTGGCGCAAATGCGAGGACGTGAGACTCATAGTAATCTACTGGTCGGAGGTTGAATTCCGGCTAGTAGAATTTTTTTGTTTGGCGGTATTTTTGTTTTGCTGCATAGCATGGGCAAATTAATAGCAAATCTAGCTTTTTATAGGCAGCTAGTGTTCTTAATTTTTCATGCAATCGTGACGCAGATATGAGGACGAGAAACTTCTAATCTCAATGTCGGAAGTGTGATTCAGGCACAGCAAAGTTATATTTTTCAAGGCTTATTTTTATCCTTTTCTTATTTCACTTTTTGGCTTTTTAGAGCTATTTCTTTCAGTGTTCTCGCTCGTATTTGCGAAGTGTAGCTTCACATGTTTAGAGAAATGTTCAAGTTTAGAGAAATAGTCAAGAAAAAAGATATTTAATTTTTTTGCAACGAATAACGTGGCGTAATATACTGTGCTACTAAAGCTCCAAACGGGTACTAAAGCAGCAAACGGGTCAGTATTGCTATGAATCATTTTTTTGTTCAGCCTATTAATATGGTTAGAGTTACAAGTACTTCCACACACACACACGTACTCTTACACGAGGTATTTATAATTGTTTTGATTTTGTTTACTCAAAATTATCTTGTTATAGAGTACAGGTTGGACGACAATCTGAAGATGAAACACTGCGTGTCGTGCGTGCTGTCCATGAAACCAACCCGAATTTTGTGCTCCCATTGTCCACCCGAACTGTGCGAATACACGAATGAGTACGAACTACTCGACCACATTCTGTCAACACACTTCGTCGATTCCAGGTTGACATTGATTCCCTCCTTCGATTGCGATTTCTGTCAACGACAGTTCACCGACTCACAGTTTGGACTCTACATTGCTCATCTGAGCCGAGAACATAAGTTATGCGCTTTGCATAAATTTTGTGACGAATCTCTAGAATGCGAGTCCATGTTTCCCCGTGATTGGGACGATCCTTGTGTTAAGTGCGCCGACGGATCGACGACAGCTGGAAGTACGTCAGTGCCAATTCAGGTATCCAGTGGGATGTTCCAGAGTCCAGGGTTCCCCGGTGTATCGAATACACCAGCTCCCAGTTTTAACCTTCCCAATCCAGTTGCTTCTATGCAGGCTACTGGTGCCAGTGAACCACTGACTGATGTCGGTTACTTTAGACTGTCAAGTGCACTCCAGTATTTTAACTGAACTCAGTTTCGAAAACACGAATTTGTCTTGCATGAGTATTTATTTCAGAAAGAAAGTATGCCTAATGGTTGAAATTGGAGGTCAAATAAATTTGTTAACACACTTTCGATATTCATTTTGAAGGTCATTTTTGAGGTTTCAGATCTTCTTGGATTCATTCAACAGATCATGATGTTAAATTTGATAACGTAGATGATCGATTCAGAAAGCTAATTGGAACTGAAAACAAATTAGCCAGAGTACTTTTCGATTCTGATCACAAACTTCGAGAATATCATTGAAACGTTTTGTCGTCATTTGGATTCTCAAAAAAGAACTTAAGAAATCTCAGTTTTCGGAGAAAAAAAATAAACCTTATCATGTCTGTTATTGATAGAGATGTTCCGGAGTTCGGGTAAACTTCCTAGGTAATTCCGGTTTCGGAATCCGGTGAATAATTTCCAGGTTTTTGTAAACAATTTTACTATCTCCGACCAAAAAATTAGTTTTTGGCCGGAGATAGTCAAACACGAGTTATTGAATAAAAAAATATGTTATCATGGATCAAAACCAATTTTTCCTATAGCTCCGGAGTCAATCTGTTAGGTTTAATGGAATTGATGTTGATTTGATGCACAAAGCACAGTGAAACACAGATAGCCAACATGCATTATGCAGTTACTCATCGGCACCAAATGAATTCTGGAATCCTCCTCCGGAATCCTGAATCCGGCAATTTAAAATTCCGGCGAAATCAATCCGGTTACATCTAGTTATTCATACCACATAAGGGTAGAATGAATTTTCCGTTGGATGATTTCAATTTTTTGATGTGGATTTTTTATGTGGGGTTGGCCAGACAACGTTCTAATTTTATGTGGGTTTAAGAACGTTGTCTGATCATCCAGCGAACCGTTAAATATGATGCGCAACCTTATCTATTTGGCTCGATTTTTTCTCTAGTTATTGGCTAAACCAGTATATTTGATTTCAATATTTTTTTAAGAAAACAAAAGCATGGTATGATGTGTTACGCTTGTCTCAGCACGTATGGGATGATATTATACATACTAACAGTCTACGTCTTTGGAGACAGATTGTTAAATTAGCGTAAAACTTCTAATGTGGATTGTTTGCACCACCGTCGTACAAAAAATTTAATTAAAATATGATAAACAATATAATGCATGTGTGCTCTGAAAATAGAAAAACGAAACCTGCTATTCACAAGCACCATATGTGACCCCATGTGAGCAAATAATGAACTAATGCACGTTTTTCTGATTTCGATCGTTCTGTTAACAGTTGGCACTCAAATAAATACATCAAAAAGTCGTGCTAGACGAAAGCTTTAGTTACGAGGGGCTATTTGATACGAGGGGCTTAGTTTGTAGGCAGGAGCCCTTTTGATTTTAGATGACATGACTGTACTAAAACGTGACAAACGTCACTGACAAAATGTCTCACCCACAAAATGATGAACAGGAGAGGCGGCCGCCGTTTAACGATGACAAAGAAAAGTTGACAACCCACGACACATCGAGTTCTAACAAGCAGTATGACTACCTAACCAAAATGTTCCAGCCTCCGAAGGGTACTAAATTTGCCACCGCCAGAACCAAAAACGAAATAAGTAAGTTTGAAGCTAACAAGCTTGGTGGCCTAGGCGGTGTTTCAGCATCAATGTTGACCCCTGGCTTAAAACAGGAGCTCCAGATTTTGGAAAAACAAAAAACTAGTGTAAGTCATGGTCCAACGTGTATTGCATCTTCAAGTAGTAATAGGAGTCCTGAGCTTGTAGACTTAGAGAGCATTAGCAGTCAAGAAAAATCAAGTAATGAATCACGTGATCGAGGCAACCGTGAAGTCAGTCAAACCTTACGAAGTTCTGATCGCAGTAAAACAGGACCTTCTAGCGAAAGACGCAGAACTAGATCACGATCCAGAGATAGGTCAGGGTCCCGAAAGCAATACGAGCCCAGCAGTAGTCACAGATACCACCGCAGTCCAGAACATAGTAGGTTTGAAACGAGAGGTAGGCACCTCCACAGATTTTCTTCACACCGAGGCGATTCAAGGGACAATGTTGGACGAAATCGAGATTTCGGTTCTCGAGATTCGAGAAATACCGACAGTCTAGAGCCTTTTGTTAGAAATAATCGTGGACATGGTCGAAGTACTAGACCGTTTGCACCTCGTGGCAGAGGTTCCAATTTCCAAAGAGGATCCATTAGTGGACGAGGGGGTGGCTCAGTCAATCAGAGGAATCATCAGAATAACAGAAGACCTTGGAATGATAATCGCAGTTATTCAAAAAATCTGGGCGCTAGATCTAGCAATACAGAGCAGCATGCTCCGGGAACATCAATACAGTCAGAGCCAACACAGAAACAGTTCCAGAACACACGAGGACTTCAGCTTATGGATAAGCTCGATAAGTTAAATATGGTGAGTCGTTTTTTAGAAACAGCCAGAATTTACGAAACGAAAATCGAGCCAGCTGAACAAGCCAAATTGAAAGAGCGACAAAAGTTGTCAATGATTTTGCCGAAGACCGCAGACGAGGATACTATAGCAAAGACGTTGGAATCCAACATGCTATGTGTAAAGAACTTGAAAGACGTGACTTCGCATAAACGTTTGGCAAGCTTGGTTTGCACAATGCGTTACTTTTTGGGACAACTCAACGTAGACATTAGTTCACATGACAAATACTTCGAGCAGTACCTGTCCTCGTTTTGTGCCACAATGGGGTGGGATCCAATTGGTGCAGAAGCAGCGTTGACTCTAGACGTAAAAGAGAAATGGGATGTTTTCAAAGACTATTCATACTCTCCAGGCGATGATTTCAAGTGCAAAAAATGTTCGATCGTTTACCCAAGCTCAAAGTTCAAGTGTATAACATGCCAACAGCTGTTCACCTGTTTACCCGACCTTTTCTCCCATGAGTTCATAATGCATAGAAAACTTGTTCAGCCTTCATTCCAATGTTTCGTATGTCAGAGTCAGTTCGGGTCGGATCCTGTAAGCTTCGCGAGACATTTCACACTTGAACATGTTTGTTCAGCCGGGCATTCTGAATGTGCATTAGGTTGTAAAACTCTGATCGCTGGATCTTCCTACATCGATCTGGAAAACCACACAGCTTCTCAGCATAATTGCAAAATTTGTGGCGATTTGATTGGCAACTCATTGCGGCAACATTTGGATTTTTTTCACTCCTTGATGAAGACTTCTGATTATCTACCTGAAGTGTACTTTGAACCGATTGTTGACGAAGAATTGGCAAAATTAAATGACCTCTTGAACACGTTTGAAGAGGTCAAAAGAAAGAATCCGCAAATTTTCGATGAGTGTGCAGAAGTTGAAAGTCCAATCAAAAGTCCACCAAGTAGCTCAAATGTTGATTCAACAGCATCTTTTAGCGAATTTGATCTGAAAAATTTTGAACCCATGAAAAATATTCACCGTTATTTGACTTCAGATGAAACACACACAATAACGAGTTTAAATCTCTGTGCGATCAGTGATACTAGCGAACACCGATTGACTCAGCTAAGCGATTTAACAGAGGAAGAAACTTGCCTTTACATGGACACATCTCGAGATCCGCGGCTGAAATCTGAGTTTTATAAAAGCTCAACATTTTTTCTAAGTTTGAATCATAATTCTTTCAATAGTAATGAATCAAGTCTAGAGGAGCGACTATTCAACACTTCTAGTAACTTGACCCCTTGGAGGTCAAGTGGCATACACCAAGAGTTCAAAATTCTGAAGTATAAAACTGCATTCAATGATATTTTCCAGACTCATGAGAACCAAATACGTGCTATTCCTATTCAAAAGGAAGACTCCACTCTGAAAAACAGACTTTGTCCGATACCTGCGAAATCAAGGCGATCAGACAGTTACCGGGAAGAGCCGGTGGAACTCATTGTTGACTCCAATCCAAGTATGAAATTGAGACGTAGTGAGTCGTCCAGTATTAATAGCAGGACTAGCTTCCCGCCCCTACCAATGCCACCTGAACCGGCTGTTCAAAAAGCGACGTCCGAGTGGGATCCGAGATTTGACAGAATCATTCACGAATTCGGAGAATCTGCATTACGGACTCCTCCTCCCCTGTCTAAATCGACAACTCGAAATGAGATTCCGAAGTTTGGAGTCGACTTCAGGACACCGCCCGAGAAGCTAACCGAACAGATTGCGACATCGCAAAGCAAACCTGCCGTCATAGATCGAGATCCGAGGTTAAAGAGGTCGTCATCTTCTTCCAGTTGCAGCGAAACAGCGGTAAGGAGATCCTCCAGTTCAATCAACCAAAATACAGCAGTTGAAAACTCAACAGAAATTGAGCGCAAAAGAATGGAACAAACTATGGCCCTCTATTTAGCCAAACAGAAACCTAATTAAATTGAAAAAATTTAATATCATCAGACACAAGTAGGTGTTCCTGTAAATTTTCAATATTAATAATCTACATATTTTACTGGAATATAGTTAGAAATTTACTAATTTATTGAAATGATTAATTGAATTCGTTTTCCTTTTTTGACTGACTGTCATTGTTCCGATCCATTGAAAAATGGGGAGGAACTTCGTAATTTTTTCTTTTTTTTTGTTTTCCACTCAAAATCAGGTACCACAAATAATAATCGGACTGGGTTGAGTGATATATCATTTTAACGCCTTCTCATTCGTGATTCAATCGACGTTTAGAAATATCTAAAAAAACCGGTTTGAAATTTTTGATTTTTTGACGAATTTCGAGTAAGCGAGCAGGCTTACAATAGTTTTTTTTAATAGCTTAAAAGCTTACAATTGCTTAATTTAGGCGGTAAAAACTTAGTTTTACCAGATTAATTTAAGTTTTTTTGAGTCTTTTCGCGCCTTTTTGGAAACAAAAACGTCAAAAATTGAAAAAACTGCAAAAAAATATATTTAATGATTTTTTTTTGATTTTCTGGTCATTTTTCTGACATAATTGTTTTTCAATTTGCTTATTTTCCTATGACTGTCGAATAGGTCTAAGCTCTAGTTTTTCGTTCAGATCCTTTTATCGCACCACGCAGAAAAAACTACTATAATTAAAAAAAAATTTTGTGTTTTTTTAAGAGTGGTCG